TTCATTTATGTGATAGTCATGTATTTAAAATGAACATTTATCATAAATTAAAGGTATCTTATATTATTAGATATGTTAGTATAAAAAATGCTTTAGTTAAGGAGTTATTGATACTTCAAGTGCAAAATGATGATATAAAACCTTGATAAAAATGCACTTTTAAGTACTAATCATCGAGAATGCAACTTTGAAATATTTGATTAGGAAAATATTTGAATAAGTAAGGGTCATCCCAATAAAAGTTTTGCACCTTGCTCAAAAACTTTATTTTATCTTGGTTATCCAAATGAGCTGGCAAAAATCCTAAAGTAAGAAAGTTAATATTTTTAGCAAACCAAGACATTGAACTAAGAGAAAGTAAAGATTCAATAAGAAAGTAATCATCTATTGGTGTGATATCGGATGTTGAATCTATTGTTAATTTTGAAAAATGAACCGCGACAACATTTTTTATGCCTTTTTCACCCTTGATTTCTTCCTATTTGAAAGTTTCAAAGATTCACAATCATGATTAACTTCCCTTTATTTGGTCATGGCATGAGGAAATGAAAGTACTGGTAAAGAATCAGTCTTTTTCTTATAATATTTAGATTCAACCCCTTTCCTACCCTTAGAGTTTGACTCATCATCTTTCTCACAAGGTTTAAAAGTGGGTTTTTCAATAACCTTACCATTGCAAAAAGTGAGGACTGATTTGACTTGATCCATGTGTTGACTTCTAGAACTACTTGCATTTGCATTGTATTGCCCCTTGAGATTTTGCTGTGGTTGAGATGGAAACTTACCTTTCTCTTGGAAACTAAGAGCATATGTTAATTTTGCAAGAGTATTTTTAAAATCTGTCATGTTTTGAGCAAGTTGAGTATTGATTGTCTCTTGCTTTTCAATGAATGCATGCAATGTTTCCTCAAGATTTCTTCTAAGAGGTGGAGTATAAGGCAGTGCATATCCATGAGAATTTTGGAAATTATGGTGTGCTTGAAAAGGTGGTTGTGAAGTTTGTGCATTGTTCTCACTCTTCCAACTGAAATTTGGGTGATTTCTCCAACCAGGGTTGTATGTTTGGGAGTATGGGTTGTGGTTAGCCCTTTGGAAACTGTTTAAAGCATGGGCTTGTTCATGGAGACATTCCAGGGTCTTTATATTTCAAAGCATTATTGTTTTGAAGAATAACACTTACTTGTTCAGCTAGAAAGACTTTTTTTTTTCACATTCAGTTTCCTCTTCACAGTGCAAAGATCTTTCAAAAATTTAGCATAGGAAGGAACCTGTTTAATAGCATCCAGCAAAGGTATATTGATCCTTACCTATTTGAAAGTTTCAAAGATTTCAGAGTTGTGATTAACTTTTCTTTGTTTGGTCATAGCTTGAGGAAATGGAAGTGCTGGCAGTGAATCAGTCGTTTCTTTGCAATTTTCAGATTCAACCCCTTCCTTACCCTCAGAGATTGACTCATCATCTTTCTCATAAGGTTCAAGAGAGGGTTTTTCAGTAACCTTACCACTGCGCAGAGTACTGACTGATTTGACTTGATCCATGTATTGACTTCCAGAACTACTTGCATTTGCATTGTATTGCCGCTTAGGATTTGGTGTAATTACGATGGAAACTTACCTTTCTCTTAAAAACTGAGAACAAATGTGAATTTTGCAATAGTATCTTTAAAATTTGTTATGCTTTGAGCAAGTTGAGTATTGATTGTCTCTTGCTTTTTAATGAATGCATACAAAGTTTCCTTAAAAATGTTTCTAGGAGGTGAAGCATAAGGAAGTGCATATCCATGAGAATTTTGGAAATTATGGTCTGCTTGAAATGGTGGTTATTGTTATCACTCTTCCAATTGAAATTTCAGTGATTTCTCCAACCAGGGTTGTATGTTTGGGAGTATGGGTTATGATTGGGCCTTTTAAAACTATTTAAAGCATGAGCTTGTTCATGAAGACATTCGTTAAAAGAAGGCAAGGTTGGGCAGTCATTGGTTGAGTGTTCATTTGTTTCATAGATTTGACACATAATGTCTTGAATAGATTTTAATTGACCACTACTTTTCAATTCTAGTGCCTCGACTTTTCTAGCTAAAGATGCAAACTTGGTTTGGACATCATGATCCTCCCTAAGCAAACTTGGCTTGAAGGTCATGATCTTCCCTAAGGTTGTACATACCTCCACTAGATGTATGAGGTTGAGTTTTACTCGGTGTCTCATAAGTAGCTGCGGTGTCCTAATTTTGAGCATTTTCAGCTAACAAGTCTAAGTACTCAATTGCCTCATCAAGGTCTTTATCTTTAAAAGTTCCATTGCACATCAATTCAACCATTTGCCTATCTTAGGTGTTAACCCTTCATAAAAATGTGAAACCAATCTCCATGTTTCAAAACTATTATGAGGGCAAGTTTTAAGCAAAGTCTCAATCTCCATCTTTTGAAAGAGTTTGTTTTATGAGATGGAAAAAACTTCTTTAAAAACTGTTATTGCATTTCATCCCAAGCACAAATGGATCCTGGTCTCAAAATTTATAGCCATGTTTTAGCTTTATATTTTAATAAAAAAGGAAAAAGTTTTAATATGATAGTGTTCATGTTACAATTTGAGTCATTATACGTGTTGTAGACCTCCTTAAATTTCCTTAAATGTAAGTAATATTATAATTTGTACAAGAACTTACCTCACTAGCAATGGCGCCAAAAACTTGACACGACCAAAAGATTGATATCTTTTCTGAAGTGCAGAAGTGTCGAAGTAATAAATAACCTAACAAGACCAGGTCCGAACCATAGAGAGGTTAATTGTATAAATTATAAACAACAATAATAATAGTAACACTACTAATACTACTATTAATAATAGTAATAATAATAAAAATACTAGTAGTAGTAGTAGTAGCAGTAGTAGTACTAATATCAATAATAATAATAATAATAATAATAATAATAGAAGAAGAAAAAGAAGAGAAGAAGTTGATAAGAACTTTGAGATAGAAGATTAATGTAAGGATTAAACAATGCTAACAACAAATGTCAAGGTTAGAGGATCCATTAATGGTATATCAAACAAGTATAGTATAAACTCTTATTATTCAATTAGAAACCACACATAAAGGAGGTTCCAATCAGATTATAAATTGGTAACATGATTACATTAGTTATCTTATTTGATTAATGCTAATACTTGTAAATGTTATCAGACATTCATGATTATAACTTATGTTAACAACAAATCAAGTTCTTTTCATAACTTAGGTGTCGGTTATACCATACAGTATGGACAATGAAAGTGCTAATCATTTGTTGTACCAAGTGTTATACAACATAAATCTAGATTAGTCATTTAACAAGCGAAGTATTAAAAAGTGAACAAGATAACAAATATAAAATATATTAGTATCAAATATTAAAGTCCATGTTGAGTTTACACTATACTTATTCTTACACCATTAGTGTAACCTTTTCTCCTTGATATAATAAACTTAACTAAACATAATGAAAGAAAGAAAAACAAATAAACAAAATGAGAACGTAAATAAGATAAAATTTAACTAAGTAAAGGAAAGGAAATGAAAGGCATAAACTTGATATTAATGAAAACAAAACTCAAGCAATACAAAGAGAGAAAGAAAAAGCATGATCTTGATCTGGAAACTAAGATGCCTAAATGCATGGCAAATGTCTCATTTTATAGGTTGAAATTGGAAATTATTGATTTGATGACTAATTGATGAGTGGGTGACCAACTCTTGACTTGATGACAATCCTTATCTTCTCTTATTTGCCTAAAATGTCATTGTTAACGTCAGAATTGGAACCACTTGAAAACATAAAAGTTGTAGGAAATTATCTCAGTTTTTCATGGAAAAAAAAAAGTCATTTGAACTTTTAGAACTCTAGATATAGGTCAAATACTGAATAGTGTTCGGGTTGCAAGACAAATTTAGACTTCTTTGTTGTTGTTACAATTTAGACTTGAAAATTGTCTTTTTAAATCTTGGACTCCTATGAAAGTTGTAAGCCTATGTCTTACCTTTTCATCCATATAAAGTAGACCTAAGTCCAAGATCTACAACTCCAGATATGACCCAATTATAAAAAAATGTTTCGGTTTGGAATGCACCAGCATCTCTTTTCTAAGTTTGGTCATCTCTTTGTCCTTTCAATTTTAGTTCTTAAACTTATCAATTAATCTTTTCATTTATATGATAAGTCTGCATTTAAAATAAATATTTATCATAAATTAAAGGTATCTTATATTATTAAATATGTTAGTATAACACATGTTTTAGTTAAGGAGTTATGGATACTTCAAGTGCAAAATAATAACATAAAACCTCAACAAAAATACAATTTTAAATACTAATCAAAGAGCACACATAAAATTTATATGGTTTAGTAATTTAGGCTTGCCTTATGAGCAAGACGGTTATAAAAATTCACTATAAAAAAATTGAAGATTATAAGGTGTCATAAAATTACTTCTTTTTTTTTTATTTAAAATCTCAATCTAACCCAAAACTTATTTTTTCTCTTGCCACCAAAATATAAAAAATAAAAGCATTCATAAAAAAATAAATCTTACCTAAAATATAACAATTTTATGTTTTAATATAGACTAAATATATAAGTATTCTTCTTTTACCTAATCTATAATTTAAAACAAACCCATTATTTTTATTTTATATTTTTCTTTTAATTTTAATACTCAATTATCTTGCATGAATTGTCATTCATAACTTGTAAATTTTGAATTTAATAGAAATGAATAACCACGAAAGATGTTGATGTATTAGAAGTAAAAAAATTTAAAATTATTTTAATATATTTTTAAATAAAAAATTATAATTTTAAAATTCTATCTCGATCAGTTAACCTAGATCTGAAGCCGGTTAAAAAAATCAGCAAGGAATTTAACTCGGAAAAACTCATCGATCTAAAGAGTTGACCAGAAATGGGAACACCGAGACTTTATTATTATTATTATTATTATTATTATTGTTATTGTTATGTATTAAGAGTCTTCCAGCGAGAGCAGCCACACCGCGCAAAAAAAATCTAATCTCTTCCTCCTGCCAATCCCTTTTTCACATAGTCTAAATCCTTCAATTGAAGCCACAACAGTTGCAAAGAAAGGTTAATCTCTTCTTCCTAAGCCACGCAAAAGACTTACAGTCGAGCTTTGATTACTTTCAAGTTAAGGCAAGTAAACTTCTCCATGAATTTGTCTTTGTTTCATGTACTGTATTATCTTTTTTTGAAAAGTTATGCCTCCCTTGTTTATAGTCTTTCCTATTTGAGTATTGGTTCCAGACTAAGATTATTGAATTTGGGTCTGTAAGATTTTCTAAAGAAAGTACAAATAAAGACCAGGTAGCAGTACTGTAAGTTTCTTGGATAATTAACGGCGCGGATTATCCAAATGTAACTTCTTGTTAGTTGATAGGCTTAACTCTGCATTCTCGTGCATCAGCGACTGTATTATTATGTTTCCTAGAAAATGCAAAAATCTGGCATTGGCTTAAATTTCTGTTCTAATGTTAGAACTGGGAATTATGGTAAAGCCTTCGGCAGTTTGGTTTGGGTGCTAAGTTGGCTTGTTTTTCATGAACAAAACACAGAAACTTATTTTATGATCTACCTAAAAGTCTCGAAACAAAATAATAATGTACACAGGATTCTTCATCAGGATATTGGATGACTCCTTTTGCTTTTCCATATCTTGTCATTTATTTCCTTTTTTCTTGGTATCTTCTACATGGGTCCTGCTATAGAAATCTTGACAAGGCATAACATACATTCCTCTGGAAGGTCTGGGGAAATTCTGGGTCTCTCCTTATAATCTACGGACTGTATATATAAATACAGTGGTATCAATCAAAACCCAATCAAGAGTATTCTGGGAGTGATTTGCATGGTCCATTAATTAGTCCTTTGCTAGAAAGTATGATAGGATGGGGTTTAAAATAGTGGTTTATGCATGACTCATTGTAAGTGAGGGACAGGACAGGACAGGACAACATATTAATTGATGCAGTGAAAATGGCTAGAAAGTATGCATACCAATAATGCTTGCCAAGTATAATATTACTTTTATATTTGCCATTTGATGTTGTTATATCTAATGTGATAATTTCAAAGATATTTACTTGTTAAACATGCATGATAATCTTTGTGTTATTGTACTCGTAACATACTGTGGTCCACTGTCACTTTGATAAAAGGGGCAAGTTCATGCAGGATATCCATGCAACATCTTATTAACTGATGCTGTGAAAATTGCTAGAAAGTATGAATATCAGTAATGCCTGCCAAATATAATATTACTTTTATATTTTCCATTTGATCTTGTTATATCTAATGCGATAATTTCAAATGTATTGTTAATTAGGTAAATATAATGTGATAATTTATGTTTGATTGGTTTAATATAAGTCTTTAAAATGTTATCTCATGATGGTAGTACTCCTAGTAGTGATCCTTTAACAACCCAATCATCTCAACCTTTAATTTTCATGTCAAGTGTTGGTAGAGGAAGAACATATTTGGCATGGGATCATGGTAGAAAAGCTTTTGAACTTGGTATTGAATGTAAAAAAACCAAATTGGCATGTTATATTATGCCAAAGTTTTTGTAAGTGGTGGTACTAATCAATTTAGCAGCATCTAGCTTGAACTAAAGGAGAAGTTGAACAATATCATAAATATCTTCTTGATGTTTGACGTCTTATGCTTTTGAATCAAGGAAATGTTGAAAAGAAAAGAAGAGTTAGAGAAATACAAGCAGATTTCAATCTATTTAGTGCATAACAAAAAAAACATGTAGAAATGATGATTAGACATTTAATACTTAGGTGTTTTATATAAATGTTGTATTGAAAGTTTTATTGAAAGTTTTTTTTTTTTTTATTAACCTAGTTGACTTGTGAAGCAGTTATTGGGGTTGATAACTAAAACAGGTTTAAAAGCTATAAAACTAGACTGGGTTTAAAAGCTATAAAAAAAAAAACTTTTGAAAAGCAACTTCACAATATTAAACACTTAAAAACCAAAATTTGTACAGTGTAACTAAATTTAAACCACAGGGACCTCCACTGCCTAGAAACCAAAATTTGTACAGTGAGTTGCTCCGGGTAGGCATTAGGCGAATGCCCTGCCACAATTAAAAAAAAATGAAAAACATTTATGGCACTTAGACTCTCTCTCTCTCTCTCTCTGCAACCAAAGAGGTACAAATATTGAACCTCATTTTTCTTATTTAAACCATGGAATATAATCTTTGCTTTCTCTCATCAATTTGGACCTTATAGTAAAAACCCGCTTCTCAAAATTTGATCTTGTCTTTCTGTTGTTTTATTTTAGGAAGAAGACATGGCTTCCATAATTGCAAGCTTGCCTTCTCCACCATTGTTGGTTCATGGTAAAAGGACCCTTTTCAGCACTCTTCAAACGCTCCCACTTTCTCCCATTAAAGGTAAGCATTATAGATTTTAAACGATCTACTTAATGAGCTTTATGGTTCAGTTCAACTGTTCAACTCACCTTGCTTGTAGAACCTGTTTGTGTTCATTACCAACTTTTTAGGATAGAAGTACTGCAAGTGTAATACGGTGAGCTTGTACATGTTGAGATTATGTCTAAGATGCTACTCTTTGAGACCTGTATTATTGAAAACTAAAACAGTATCATGGGCATGAAGGGTATGCTGTTACCTTGGTCAAAAGTGGGGATCTTACTGATGTTGAAAACATTTAAATTTAAGATCCCATGATCGATTCAAAACGAGTGAAAATGAGAACACGAGTTGGAATTTTATCATACTTTTAAGTGATAGGCTTTTTTATAAAATGATTTATGGTGAGCTGGAAGCAACAAACTATCAGTTTCTATTAGAAGAAAAAACCATGGATGATGCTTTTGGTGTTTGTCAATGAGGTAGATTTTTTTTATCACATATCAAATTTATGGAAATTTTCAATTGTTGATTCAGATTTTTTTTTCTTTTTTGTGTTTTTAAGATTCAACATTGTATCTACAACATTTTGCACATTAGTGATTTTAGCAATGGACTATACTTATGAAGTCTGTTGCATGGCCGAGGAACTATTTTGTTTTTGAAATATTGTAGCAAGTTGCTGTAGTTCACTCAGTTAAACTTGTTATGGTGTTGATGCTTGCGTTTTTGTCCTTGAGTCTCGATAATTGTGCTCTGCAGACAGACAGAACTGTGTTTCTGTTGTTGTGAGGGCTACTGGGGAAAGCTCTGAGTCATCACCCCCCCTCGGGATTGTTAAGTCTGTTAAAAACATAGTGAGTGTTCATCTCCCTCTCTCTCTTGCTCTATGATTGTGTTCTCATCATAGCCAAAATGTGGTCTGCTTGATCATTTATATATTTGTGGCTTCTTTTATTATCATTTTCCTCTTGTGATTGTAGCATCTTATATTATGTAAAGCTGGAATATTCTCAAGTTTGTTGACAATAGACAAGGATGTTTATTTATTATGATGCATGGGATGGTTGGTTGTCATCCCTCAAAATAACCCTTGCTTGTCTTTTTCTTTGAAGTAAAATCATTTTCAGCCATCTAAAGTTTTTGATTTTTTGATATATCCTTGATTGATATGAAACAGTGGGATGATTCCGAAGATAGGCTGGCTCTTATCGGTTTGGGGTTTGCAGCACTGGTAGCCATTTGGACGTCGGCAAAACTCATCCCGGTGATATATGTGACTCATTCTTTTTTAATATTATAGAAAGCAAAAGTGATGGTCTTGAAATAAAAAAATTATTCAAGTTTATTACTAAACAAGTACCATATAAATTGATGGTGATTTAAAGTTTTTATATAGTCATCACTTGAAACACCCCGAGTTTCTTTCCTTTCCTTTTCCTTTATTGTAGATCAAGTTATATATTAACACTTACCTTTACTGGTTCAGGCAATCTGAAGCTTTATGACCATCTGATTTCAGAAGTGCCTTGGGATTGTGTAAAGAAAACCAAATTTAGAGTTATAATGTGGCACGACTGTGCTCAATTTCATGTGGATAAATCTCTATGCTTATTGGAAAAATCTAAGAAAGGAGACAAACCATGTGCATGATAGCCTTCTTATTTTCATGATATTTGTAGCAAACTTTTTTGGAATTAAATGCCCTGCCTATATATGTCAGCACACAGCTTATCATTTTTCTGGCTTCCACCATAACAAGAATTCTAATTATTTATTTTTGCTTTCCTTTTTATGCATAGGCCATTGACAAGTTGCCTGTTGTCCCAAGCGTGCTAGAATTGATTGGCATACTTTTTTCTTCAGTAAGTAATATACCTCAACTTATGGTTTCTGAGAATGTGCGAGCAAATGAAAAAGAACTTTTGAGCTCTTGCAACAATTATTTGTGTACCAAATGATTCCTAAAAAAATAAGCTTTCTTTACTATTCTCGCCTGTTGATTACCTCACAAAACGTCATTTGTCTTCTATATATCATACTGACTTAAGCTTTTCCATCCATTCCAGTGGTTTATATATCGATATCTTTTGTTCAAGCCCAATCGGTAAGTAAAACCAATGACTATTTGGTTTTGTTGCTGTTGATGTTTCTAAAATATTCCTTGGTTCGCATGAATTTTATTTGGTTTATGATGTTCAACGTGTGATTAAAACTGGATTAATATGTTATTCGAAGTTTGCAGCAATATATTTTGTGTTCCTTTTGGCTCACAGGGAAGAGCTATTCCAGATCATCAAGAAGTCAGTTGCCAATATCTTAGGCCAGTGAATCATGCTTTGAAATGTAGTCAAGTCGTGTACCTTTAGAGCTTTCCCTGATTGGCATATCGTGTATCTATATGGGTGGCAATGACCAGTTGACCTACACTTTCATTTGGTAGTGGAAGTTTTTGATGCATCAAGTTTAAGCAATTCTATGTTCATTTTCTGGCACTCGTCTATTATCATCATTCAAACATATTGGATGTTCATAACAGGACAGTTGGGATGAACAACATGTCAGCACATAGTACAGAGGTAAGTTATTGAAACATTGTTAGCAGAACTTTGCCTATAGTTTCTCGTGTATGGCATTTGAGATGAAAGGATATCAGAAATTACTTGGGATAAATAAATTTGAACCTTCAAATTTATCCAGTATAATAGGGAAGTGAGATTGGTGTATTTTCTATGGTGTTGTAACCAGGATCCGAGCTCCAACTACTGGCCAAATCTTACATATTTTGTTACGTTACTTGTATGTACATGAGATATATGGAAAACACAGCTTTCTATGGTAGAGACTTTAACCAACTGAAGCAATAGCCTCACTGCAAGATGAAATGTTTCAGTGTCATCTCTGCAATGCGCAATTAGATTTCACTTTTCAGGTCTTGCCTTGATGGTGCAAGTGCTAGGATATTCGAACTGACTCTCTACAACAACTATCGCTGATGAAAGCAACTCCTCAGCAATGCAAAAACATGGAGAACGCACTAGTTTATAGGTCAATTGACAAACGAAGGAGCAGAAACTTATAAGCACCAGGGTAACAAAAAAGACACTTCAACATTTAGATGCACACAACTTGCTATTTCGTGTTGAATAGAAAACTGGACTCGCTTGTAAAGCCTCATCTATAACATGTGCTATGAGAGGGGTTAGCAGAGGTGAAAATGATGAAGAATCTCGCTGTATGTTTCCTCCAATGAGCCAAATAGAGTTAATCATGAAGATTTGAAACAGATTAGTACTCGATATGAAGGTGATACTTCAGAATAAAAGGTCACTGATCTCAGAATACTTATATTAATCCACTGCTTTTTTTATATAATTTTTCCTTCATTTATAAATGTCAACTTCATTTTAATAAAGTCAAATAAAATAGAAGAATACCTTTATAATCAACCCATTTCTAAAACTACTGTCATAACCTAATTTTGACCATTAAAAAAAAACAAATCCAAAAAATAGAAAAAAAATAAAAAAAATATTTTTGACTTATTTGCATCATTTCTGGCATTCTCAGCATCTTTTCAAAAGAATAAAAATTTAAAAAACTTACTTTCAATGCATTTAACTTTTAACACACTCAATGTAAAATTATTAATTTATTTTTTTCATCAATTCAACATTGACGCTTAAAAAAAAATTATATTTGAAAAAGAGGACCAAAAGTGAAAAATAGAAAATGAGGGACCAAAGTGATTTTGGGTTCCTTGGCCATGAAGTTTACTTGGAGGCTAAGTAATTGGGAAGAAAAAGACAAACCCTAAACTCGTCCTTGCAATAACTAGCCACTGGCCATACAAAAAGAGAGAGAGAGAGGGAGGGAGGGACCCAAACACCAATCACCCAAACCCTAACAAGTCCCTCTTTACCACATATTTCTTCACTTGCCTACACATATATTAAAAAGAAAAAGTTTGTCTCTCTCATTTTGTAGAACACATTCACCATTTTAAAAGCAAAAAAAAAAAGCCTTTCTTTTTTCACCTAAAATAATTAAGTTTGCTAACAGAAACGAACAAAATCACAACTCAGTTAGAAATAGCCTACACAGTAGCATCCTTTCAAGATGAAGACCTAGATCTACTTTTATTTTTCAGCCCCATCAACAACTCAAAGCCTCTAGCTATTTAAAACCCAATATTTTTAGCCAAAAAAAGAGGCCCTCATGATACAACTTTCATAAACACCACTACCTCATTCGAAACTAGAACTAACGCTAATTGTAGTGGTATCATCCCCTATATTCATAACTGGAACTAGACACTGGTATAGCCAACTCAACAACCTCTCATTTGTCCATAAAGACCTACTATAAAAGTTATCAGCACCTCCATTAGTATAGTCAAAGACCTGCACTAGCAGCGACCATCAACCTCTTTTTCTTATACCCGACCAAAAGATTGATATCTTCTCCCAAGTGTAGGAATGTCGAAGTAATAAATTACCCGGCAAGACTAGGATCGAACCACAAGGAGGATAATTGTATAAATTATAGATAATGATTAGTAATTAAAAGTGCATTTTTATCAAGGCTTTATATCATCATTTTGCACTTGAAGTATCGATAACTCCTTAACTAGAGCATGTTTTATAATAACAAGTATGATAATATAAGATACCTTTAATTTATGGTAAATGCTCATTTAAATGCAGGTATTCTTACAATTCAAAGAATTGATTGTTGTGATTAACTATTGAAAGTGAAAGGACAAAGAAAAGGCTAAGCTTACGAAGGAGATGCCGATTCACTTCAAATTCAAACATTGTTCAGTCATTGGATCATATCTCGAGCTATAGATCTTGGATTTCATAATAATTTATATGGCTAAAAAGATAAGAAATAGGCCTACAACTTTCATTAGTATGGAAAGACCCAAATTTGTCATTTTTAAATTCAAAGTTTGGCCACAAAAGAGAAGTCCGAATCTGTCTTGCAATCCAGCCCAAACACTATTCAAAGTCTTACCCATAACTAGAGTTCTAGAAGTCCAAATGATCTGAACTTTGGTGGTGGAAGGAAATGATAATTTCCAACAACTTTCATGAAGAGGACCAGCTTAAATTCGGATGGTAGAAATGAGATTTCATCCAGACAAGAGCATGAGAGCTATCCACCACGTCCACCAGCAGCACTGCTCAGTATTTTAGACATATCTCAAGTTGTAGTACTCTAAATGATCTAAAATTTGGTAGGTGGAATGAAAAAACAATTTCCAACAACTTTCATGAAGAACACTTTACTAAATTCTAATTGCATAAATGTCAATTCAATCATCCAAAGTGCTTCAGTGATGCTGTCCACCATGTCCACTAATCAATAGTTGGCCACTACATCAATTATCAATTACCACATGAATGGTTCTGAATTTTAGCCTATAAAAGGAGGCATTTGCCATTCATTTGAGTATCTTATTTTTCATATTAAGATCATGTTCTTGCTCTCTCTCTTTATATTTTTGTAATGTTTAAGTTTTGCTTTCATTAATATCTTGTTCATGCTTTTCATTTCCTTTACTATACTTAGTTAACTTATATCATGTTTATATTCTTATATTGTTTCTTTAAGTTTTTCTCCTTCATAATGTCTAGCTAAGTTAATTATGTCAAGGTGAAAAGGTTTCACTAATGGTGTTAGGATAAGTAAATATAAACTCAATATGGACTTCAATGCTTATATCTATTAACATGTCTTATCATTTTTATCTTATTAATTCTTAATACCTTATTTGTTAAATGGTTAATCTAGATTTGTGTTGTATAACACTTGGTACATCAAATACTTGATCCTTCGTAGTCTTCGGCCAACATTGTTATTATAAGAGGAACTTGATTTGTTGTCAATGATTAGTACTTAAAAGTGCATTTTTATCATGGTTTTATATCATCATTTTGCACTTGAAGTATCAATAACTCCTTAACCAAAGCTTGTTTTATAATAATATATCTAATAATATAAGATACCTTTAATTTGTGGTAAATGTTCATTTTAAATGCAGGCCTATCACATAAATGAAAGGATTGATTGATGACTTTAAGAACTTAAATTGCAAGGACAAAGAGATGACCAAACTTAGAAAAGAGATGTCGGTGCAATCCAAACCGGAATACTGTTCGGTAATTGGGTCATATCTGGAGCTATATATCTCATATTTAGTTCCAATTTATATGGATGGAAAGGTAAGACATAGGCCTACAACTTTCATATGGAGCCCAAGATCTAAAAAGGTCATTTTCAAGTCCAAATTGTAGCAACAACAAAGAAGCCCGAATCTGTCTTCCAGCCCGAGCACTGTTCAGTATTTTGGCCATATCTGGAGTTCTAGAAGTCCAAATGACCTGAATTGTTTACACAAGAAAACTGAGACATTTTGGTCATATCCTTACATTAATTTTCCATCTCCAAGTTCTTATCATCTGCTTCTTCTTCTCTTTCTTTATTATTATTATTACTACTACTACTACTACTACTACTACTACTACTACTACTACTATTATTATTATTATTATTATTATTATTATTATTATTATTGTTATTATTATTATTATTATTATTGTTATTGTTATTGTTATTGTTGTTGTATTATTGTTATTTATAATTTGTACAATTAACCTCCCTGTGGTTCGACCCCGGTCTTGCCGGGTTATTTATTACTTCGACACTCCTGCACTTGGGAGAAGACATTAATCTTTTAGTCGTGTCAAGTTTTTGGCGCCGTTGCTGGGGAGGTAAGTTCTTGTATAAATTATAGTATTTATTTTATTTTCTCTTTTCACTTTTTTTGTATATAACTTTGTTTCTTTTCTTTTGTTTCTTTTTATTTTGTTTTCTTCCTCCTTCTTTTGCTTTCTTCTTTTTTTTTTTTATTCCTACACGTGCATGAGAGTGTGGTCACGTACATCAAGTGGTAGACTTTGTAGGGTATCCTCATCATTTTCAGAAAATATGGCCGAAGAAGATAATCAATCACTTTATAATGAAAATAATGAGAATAACCGTGCTAGAACACTTAGAGACCACATGAATCCCACAAGAACAAGCGCACCATCATGCATAGTTTTTCCTCCCGATGCATCTCATTTTAATTTTAAACCGGGCATTATTCAACTTTTACCTTCTTTTCATGGCTTAGAATTAGAAAATCCATACTTGCATTTAAGGGAATTTGAGGAGGTTTGTAACACATATAATAATTTAAATTGTAGCATGAACACCATCAGATTAAAGCTTTTTCCTTTTTCATTAAAAGATAAAGCTAAAACATGGCTACAAAATTTAAAACCAGGATCTATTCGTGCTTGGGATGAAATGCAACAACAGTTTTTAAAGAAGTTTTTCCCATCTCATAGAACAAACTCTTTCAAAAGACAAATCACTACTTTCACTCAAAAACCAGGAGAAACATTTTACCAATGTTGGGATAGGTATCGAGACTTGCTTAGTACTTGCCCTCATCATGGTTTTGAAACATGGAGATTGATTTCACATTGCTATAAAGGGTTAACACCTAAAGATAGGCAAATGGTTGAATTGATGTGCAATGGAACTTTTGAAGATAAAGACCCTGATGAAGCAATGGAGTACTTAGACTTGTTAACTGAAAATGCTCAAAATTGGGACACCGCGAGTACTTATGGGGCACCG